GAATGGTATTTATAGCCGAGAAAAGTTGCTATAATTATACAAGGCGTGGTATCTGCACCGTGCCTTATATAATTATATCAGTTAAATGTATGGCGCGGCCCCTGTCCCGCACTATATATAATTATGTCATAATTAAAGGTAAGGTGCGCTCCCTGGCCCGCGCTATACCCCTACGTGGCGTAAGGCTCGCCCCAGGGGCCGCACTATACCCACGTGTATTCCATGTCAGCATATAACGCGGTGCAAGGGGCGCGCCTTACCCCACGTGGCGCCAAATCAGCATATAACGCTGTACAGAGGGCGCACTTTACTGTAAAGGGTGTTAGATCGATAAATATATCGATCACCGATGATTTTTCGAAAAAAACACATCTTTTCTCGTCTTTTATTTCATTTTTGAATGCTTAATATAAAAAATATTTAAATTATATATTTTTTATTTATATAATTTAAATTTTTTTAATTAATAGAAATGTTTAATGTGTTTGATATTATCATTTTAAATGTTTAATATGTTATAATTATTAAAAAATTGTTAAAAATCAACTAAACATTTAAAACATGATACGTAACATGTTTATATATTAAAAAAAACAAATCAGAAATTAAACATTTATGTTATTATATTATGTCACCGATATAATGAAAATTAATGTCTATTTTATTATAAATTGATAATATAAATGATTTGTTTATATGAAAAGAGACATTATTTTTATTTAAAAGAGAAAATATTTAAAATTATAATAAAATTTAAAAACTAAACACATAATTGTAATATTTTTCTATAACAATTTATATAATAAATCAGCCACTCAATATTATTCAATGACCATACAAGGAAAAAAAAATTAAAACTCATCCAAGAAATTTAAGCAAAAGTCTTACGCAAACAAATCTGATTGTATCATTAAACTAACTATAATAGGAGATTAAACTCCTTAAATACCATCGATAATCGTAAATCAGAATCGAACGTCTTCAAAGTCTAATCTGATGGATCAAAGTATGAAATATCAACATGACAAATAAATAAGTGTCATCTTAATCAATCGTGGCGACGTCAAATATAACCCTAAAACATGATTGAATGATTAAAAATATATCATAAAGACAGAAAAAAATATGACATAAAAACAAAAAAAAATCATAAAGAAAAAACTATTATAAATTAAATATAAAAAAATAAATATATAAAAAAATAAATGAAAAATAACGAACACATACCATCAGTGACATTAAAATTAATATAGCCACTTATCCAAAAGGAAAAAGAAAGAAGCGGCGGGTATAAACGAGAGAAAAAAGTCAATAAAATAAAAGGGTAAATAATAAAATTATAAACTACTTTATTATTTCTTTTATTTCATTCATCATATTTTTAATTTTATTTAATTTAATCACAAAATTTTATATATTAAAATTTTTTAATCACTTCGTTGTTAACTTTCTCTACATGATTTTTAAAACCGGACCGGCTAACGAACCGGTCATGCTATCGGTTCACTAGTTCAACCGGTTTGACCGGTCGGAAGAACCGGACGACGTCATAATTATTTAAAAAAATTAAATAAAAATACCAAAAAATATTTAATAAAAAAATAATTTTTTATATTACAAGTTATATTCAAAGCAAGTCATAACATATATAAGTTAAAAACCATAAAATCAAGTGAAACAAAATGATTCAAATTAACTACAACATAATATTTAAGGTAAAGAAATGACCATCCAGCTCAGTTGGTAGAGCACAAGGTTCTTAACCTTGAGGTCGTGGGATCGAGTCCCACGGAGGGCATTTCATAATTCGGAGGTCTCTTACGGAAGCTGCTCTCAACCTGGTGTTGGGGGTAGCCTACTATTTTACCTCCCCCTTACCCCATATATATGGGAAAACGGGACAACCATTTATAATATTTAAGGTAAAACATATTAAATAATAAATATAATTATATAACTATAATTAAAAAATAAAATATAATTATATAACTATAATTAAAAAATAAATTTGGGGCTAAAAAAATCATAACAAAATGATATTGTTTAGTTTAATTTTTTTTAAAAACAATCCCACATGGCTAAGAAACATAGAAGAACATCCTAAAAGTCTAAAGAGTAAAAATATGAGAACAAAACAATCACACATGACTAATAAACATATGAGAGCATCTCAACTAACTTCTATAAATAATAGAGGTAATTAGGCATTCAAAATCATGAAGCCTTTTGGTGAGCATTGAGTGAACTATTCTTTCACTTCAATCAATGTTGAATTTTAGGCTTCAATCGAGCTTCTAATTTTTTTTTGAGTTCAAGACTTTTCGAGTTCAAGTTTCAATATTATATTTCGAGTTCGAGTTGAACTTGATAATTTTTAGCTCGTGAGTTTGAGTCGAGTTGAGCTTACTTTTAAAGTTTTCAAGTTCGAGTTTAGCTCAGCAATACTCGAGTTCGACTTGGCTCGATTAACAAACAACGTCGTTTGGTTTAATTTTAAAAAAAATAAAATAAAATAGACGTTTTTTCCGGTTTTCCCCGGTTTTTTTCAGTTTTCAGCCGGTCCAGTTTGAACGGTTCAACAGTTCTAATCGATTCATTAGTAACGGTTCAACCGATATAGATTGAATCGAACTAGACAACGATTCACGGTTGAACCAACCGGTCCAATCCGATTTTCAAAACACTTTCTCAGTATGTTATGAGTCATGACCAGGCTAAAACACAATATTTATCGCAACTTTCACGGTCAATGACTTTTATTACTTGGGTTGACTATTTGACTTCACACCCCGCTAAACAACCTTATCTTAAATATTATCTTTGTTGTTGATCTCAAGAAAAATGAAAAACCAAAAAATGTTTAGTTCCAACATCTTCATCTTTCACCTGTTACTCCCATGGCTTAGCTTCACCATTTAAGCTAAACAACAAGCTTTCCTCTTTAATTTCTGTCCCAACACCACAGTTTTTCCACCAATCGCCACTTATACAACCAATCTCGATAATTTATTCTCTTCTCTTTCCTCCAACATCACCTCCAGCTGTCATTTTCATAACACGACCTCCGGGAGAAACGCTAACATCGTTCATAGTTTATTTCTCTACATGGGTGATGTTTTAGACAAAAGGTGCCGAGATTGTGTGTCCGCAGCCACCAAAAACGAAACTCAACGTTGCTCGTCGAAAAACTGTGATGATTTGGTACGATGATTACCTCGGTGGTTGTTCGAACTAGTCAATCATCTCCACTGCCGGCGGAGCACCCAATGTTTACTTAATGAACACTGCGAACGTCACGAATTAAGACCGTTTCAACCGTTAGATGTTTTGGAAATGCAATTTGAAGTGCGGGTCAAATGTTTTCTGTCACGCAGCATGCATTTCGATCACTGTATGACATACACAAACACACCCACACTTTTGCAACTTCAACTTATCTATAGTTATAAAAAGCGTGAGGTCGGGAGCGAGAGGAGGGGGTGGCAGGGATTCAAGGTTAGATAGAGTGATTTGCTTAATTTGATTAGTATTGTTTCTCTTTGGATGACTATTGCATCCCTTCTTTACAATTGCTTGTAATATTTGCTGAATTTAAGGTCTTTCTTTAATTTTGCTGGAAGTCATTCTGGAGTATTATATGTTTTGGTGAATCTTGAATTAGTTGATGAGCAAATTTAAAATATGTATCCTTTTACTTGTTTCGATAACTGAATTGCTCTCCTGGGCAGATGCGTATTGAGCATTGTTTTGAAAATCGGACCGGATCGGCCGGTTCAATCGGGAACCCTGTGCTAGTCCGATTCAATCTAAACCGATTGAACTGCTACTAGTGAATCGGCCATAACCGCTGAACATTCGAACCATACCGGCTGAAAATTGGAAAAAATCGGAAATTTTATTTTTTTTTATAAAAAAAAATTAAACCAAACAACATCGTCTGTTAAACGAGCCAAGTCGAACTCGAGTATTGCTGAGCTCGACTCGAACTTGAAAACTTTAAAAGTAAGCTCAACTTTACTCAAACTCACAAGCTAAAAATTATCAAGTTCAACTCAAACTCGAAATATAATATTGAAACTTGAACTCAAAAAGGCTTGAACTAAAAAAAACATTAGAAGCTTGATTGAAGCCTAAAATTCGAGCTTGATTGAAGTGAAAGAATAGTTCACTCAATGCTCACCAAAAGACTCCATGATTTTAAATGTCAAATTACCTCTATTATTTATAGAAGTTAGTTGTGATGCTCTTTTATGTTTCTTAGCAATGTGGGATTGTTTTGTTATCATATTTTGACTCTTTAGACTTTTGGGATGTTCTTCTATGTTTCTTAGTCATGTGGGATTGTTTTTTTTTTAAAATTAAACCAAACAATATCATTTTGTTATGATTTTTTAACCCCAAATTTATTTTTTAATTATAGTTATATAATTATATTTATTATTTAATATGTTTTACCTTAAATATTATGTTGTAGTTAATTTGAATCATTTTGTTTTAATTGATTTTATGGTTTTTAACTTATATATGTTATGACTTGCTTTGAATATGACTTGTGATATAAAAAATTATTTTTTTATTAAATATTTTTGGTATTTTTATTTAATTTTTTAAATAATTATGACGTCGTCCTGTTCTTCCGACCGGTCGGACCGGTTCGACCGATTGAACCAGTGAAGCAGTAGCATGACCGGTTCGCTAACTGGTCCGGTTCTGAAAACCATGGAGAAAAGGGACTAATGATAGAAAAAATTTTAATCTATAAAATTTAGTGAATAAAGTGAAAATTTTGAAGATATAATAAGTGAAATATAAGATAAATAAAATTGGGTGAGTAAATTTATAATATACCCTAATATAAATTATTAAACCAGAACAATTAAAAGTTAAATTATAAAAAACGAAAAAAAAAAAATAACCATCACTATAGTTTATCCTATTAAAAAGGTCAAATTAGTGTTTCCAATATATTTTCATGTGTGTCACAATACGACGGAATCTCTGGTTTACGAACTACGATAGGCTTTTTACGCTTCTGCGTGGATTTCCAACCAACAAAGACAGAATAAGAACCAAAAGCAGACGCTAGGATGTGAATTTGTGAAGGTTCCATGGATAAACTCACAAGCGAAGCCGCTTTCGTTCAATCCATTCCAGCTTCTAATTCAAATCCTTCAATCATCGAGTTCCGTCAACCGCCCATCGATCCACGCCTTCCCTCTATCACCCGCACCCAACCCAAATCCAGGTTAGGTTTTTCTTAACTTCGTTTTCAATTTTTTAAACTTTCACAACTATTTTTTGGGGGGTTTAATTTAACAGATTGTATTTCATTGATTTCATGGTTTTTCCCCTTTTGTTGGCAGCCAAAGGGTTGAAGGGGAACCCAAGGATTGTATTGCGGCGAGAAAACTTCTAAAGGCTGACCGTGAGAAACTAAGAAGGGATCGTCTCAATGAACACTTCCTTGAGTTGGGAAGTGCACTTGGTACATTTATAGTCCCGCCAGAAAAGTTTTTTTGGTACTAATTTAAGAAATTGGGCACCTGCATAATTTGGCCTCTTCAGTTTTATTTGAAGCTATGGATTTATATGCATAAGCTTTTTAGTACTGGGGTTGAGATTTTGAGCTTTAATTCATTGTGCTGAATGCTGATGCACGTGAAATTTGATTGGAAATGGCTACTAAATGCTTCCAAGTTTTTTTCACCATAAAAAAATGTTCTTTTTCGTCTTGTTCTCAAATATAATTGGTGAAAGTCATAGTTCATATTTGTGTAAACAAGAGTTTGAGTCCATATTAGTATTTAATACGGTTGTAGTTGTTTTGTTTTTGTTTTTCCCACGAAAATCTGAAGGGTGATGCTAATTTGTTTGCACAATCCAGATCCTGATAGGCCTAAAAATGACAAAGCAACCATCCTTACTGATACGATTCAATTGCTGAAGGACCTTGCATCTCAGGCCACCAAGCTGAAAGCAGAGTATGCTACACTGACCGAAGAATCTCGGGAGGTCATCCCTGCCTGTCTGATTTTATTTATGGTTTTCAGATTTGCAAACCTCCTGATAGGGATTTTACATGGTTGTTTCTTTCTTTTGAAGCAGTTGACCCAGGAGAAGAATGATCTCAAAGAAGAGAAGGCATCTCTTAAATCTTATATTGATAATCTTAATGCTCAGTATCAGCAGAGAGTCGGGACTATGTATCCGTGGGGCGCTTTAGATCACTCGGTTGTCATGGCCTCTCCTTATCCATATCCAGTACCAATGTCAATGCCTCCTCCAGGAGCCATTCCTATGCATCCATTCCCTTTCTTTGGGAATCAAAACACTGGGATCATTCATAACCCTTGCTCCACTTTTGTCCCATATATGACTCCTAATACTATGGTTGAACAGCAGTCAGCGCAGCCTGTTGCTCCAGCTGCACAACCAAGCAGCCATTCCCATGCTTCAGGCAAACAAGATTCAAAAAACAAGTTCTCGGGGGAGAGCAAGACTGAAAAAACTATCAATTCAAATGGCGTTGCTACTGAGCTAGAGTTAAAAACACCTGGTTCTACGGCAGATGAGGTTAGTTAAAGAGATAGCTTGGCTTGTGCTTTGTAGCTGTCCTAGTGGGTAGTTTCGTTCTGATTTAACTTTTAACATATTCATTTGAGTGTATGGCTGACTTGATGGTGTATCTGCAGGATTTATCATCGACATCGGGGCAAAAAAAGATAAAGAAAGACGATGATACTACAGAAGGCAGTTATTCAAGTAGGTGCTCCTCATCTTATAGTGTACTAGATAGCCCATCAAATAGTATAGTGGGTGGAACAAAGGCTGATGATGTCGATGGGTAAAACGATCGACAAATGCCCGAGTCAGGTTGTTTGCAACTTGTGCTCATCATGTTTTCCTTTTATTCTATGCTCTAGTAGTTCCTGATTTCTCCTCCACGTTAGAAACTAATTATTTTCCCACGAATTTAATCACTGGAAATTGCTGCTATGAAGTAGTTCTAGGCTAGGTTTGTCATGAATTCTATGGGTTAGAATTTCAGTGGAACTAATGAACGATGTAGGAGCTGATGGCTGTATAAAGTTGATTTTTTATGTAACCCATTCATGTAAACTTTACACTTTAAACAGTCTTAGGGGCTGTTTGGTTCGGCACATTCCCCCGTTTAGTTGGCCGGTAATCTCATTCCCTGTAATGTAAGATTACCAACAGTGAATTTTTTGGGGTATATTACCGAGAATGTCATTACTTCCCTTCCCTTAGGGTGCGTTTGGTTCACGAAATGTAAAATTACCAATGTGAATAAAAGATTACCAGGGAATAGGATTACTGAGAATGTTGTATTTTGTGTTTGGTTGGTTTAGCAGTAATGTAAGATTATCGTGTTTGATTAAAGGAATAAAAGATTATTGAAATGTATATTTGACCAAATTGTCCTTATTATATATTTGTTTTGTTAACAAATTGAAAAATATTTATATATTTTCTTTAAAAAAATTAAATTCATAAAATTTATATAATTTTTTTACAAAATTGAAAATATAAAAAGGTTTAATGAAAGAGTAAAATTTTATTTTAACCCCCGAACTTCATATAAAATTTTAATTATAGATTTTTTTTGTAAATCTAAAATAGTTTAAGGATAAATTTGTAATTTAACATTTGTAGAATTTTTATTATTCAATGACATATTAAAGATATTTTTGAAAGAAAAAAAATTTAAGGGCATTTTAGTCCAAAACGCCGATAATCCAACAATACTTAAGGAAAGAGAGGTAATGACATTCCCTATAATATACTTCAAAAAATCCACTATTGGTAATGTAAGATTACAGAGAATGACATTCCCGAACAACCAAACGGGGGAATGTGGATTTCATTCTTATGGGAATCTCACATTCCCCCAACCAAACACACCATTAGATATTGTTCGATTACTGGTGTTTTGGACTAAAATGTCCTTAATTTTTTTCTTTAAAAAATATCATTTTTTCTGTCATTGAATAATAAAAAATCTACGAATGTTAAATTACAAATTTATCCTTAAACTATTTTAGATTTACAAAAAAATATATATAATTAAAATTTTATATGAAGTTCAGAGGTTAAAATAAAATTTTACATTTTCATTAAACTTTTTTATATTTTCAATTTTGTAAAAAAATTATATAAATTTTATGAGTTTAATTTTTTTAAAGAAAATATATAAATATCTTATAGTAATATTATAGTAGAATTTTACTTGTTAAAAAAACAAATATATAATAAGGACAATTTGGTTAAATATACAGTCCAATAATCTTTTATTCTTTTAATCAAACACGGTAATCTTATATTCATGTTAAACAAACCAAGCACAAAATACAACATTCCCAGTAATCCTATTCCCTAGTAATCTTTTATTCACATTGGTAATCTTATATTCATCGAACCAAACTCACCTTTATCGTGTCTTAAATATTTCAAAGGGGGAAGAAAGTAATGTAGACCATTTGCTCTATAACGTGATAAAATTCATTTGTTCCGTGCTAGAAACCATATTGGATATTTATAGTAATATTGTACATGTATATCCCATATCATGTAACACTCCATATGTATTTAATCGATAATATGGTATATTTCACGTTAACAAAATTGATGACATGTTAAATCACTAAAAGTGATTGTGATATATATCATGTAAATTAAATATATATGGAAATGTTATTTAGTAATAAGTGTTGATAGTTAGTTAAGTAATTGTTTAGTCTAAATAAACATTTTGATATAAATTATTAAATACTAAAATATTTTAAAAAATTTGAATTTAATTTAGAGTAATAAGTCACGCGTCAAGGAAAAATTTTAATATTATATTTTGAATAATCATAATTATATCTGAACAATTGGACAGACTGATTTTTGTGATTAAATCGATTTTATAAACCATGAGTCAAAAACTTTCGGAATTAGATATTAGATGTTTGGGTAACTACATATTTAGTCATCTACTTATTCTTATATTTCATTTTAGTCATCCATTTTTTTAAATCATATTTAACGTTATATTTTTATTTCATTTTAATCATCTATCATTAAAACATAAAATAGAGCTGTTGTGTAGTAAACTTTTATTATTTTTTTAATGATAACTTAGTATTATCTTAAGATTACACATCAACATCATTATTTTTAAACGAGGTCATTATAATGGAACCAAAAATAATTTTTTTAAAAAAATAATTGAATGATCAAAACAAAACTAAAAAATAAATGAGTAACTAAATACGTTCCTGTAATGGAATCAAAACATAAAATTTTAAATAAAAATAATATAGTGACCCAAGCAGAGCTGAAATTTTAAATACGAACTCTGCCCTAATAAATCTACGTGTACGGTCCTTGTTACTGGTGACCACAAATTCTTCAAAGATTCAAAACATTTTATCAACACTATTGTTCAGTTACTTTAAGCCACATGAAAACAGGAGAAGGGCTCTAAGCGTCATGGTGTTATCCAACCAACCACTAACAGTACTAGGAAAGAGCTGTGAAAATCTGGGGGAACTACTGAAACGGCATCGTCTCCTCGAGATTTCTAGTTCACGATCACGATAGTTCGACATGTGTTGTCGAGGAAGGGCGGAGACAAGTACAAATCATGGAAGTTGAGTTTCTGTCAGATTAGTGGTAGCCCCCAGCGCTCCAAATTCGCTTGGTAAACACTTTTGTCTCGTTCATTAATACCCCTCACAAATATAATAAATATTAGAAACTCTGTGAATTCAAATACAAGTTTTATCTCCAAAATTAAAACACAACATATAATGTTCGTTTTCTTTTGAAAATATTTAAGTAACCTATATCACTTAAATTCCTTCATTGAAAGATGAAAATAATTCCTTTGAATCATAATAACTATTTGGTTTATTTATAAAAATAGGTGTTTTAAATCTATCACTTTTTATTTTAGATGTATATTTTTTAATTAAAATAATTAATACTATATTCCATAATTATTTTTTATTTAACTATTATGTTTGCAAGTTATTACTTAAACATCGAACCCAAATTTATTAATAAAAGCTTTACCCCTGCCCTATAATCATGTACATAAGATAAAAATAGATAGCTATTTATATTGCTTTTAATTTAAGGGATATAGATTAATTCAGGAGAACCTATATATGTATATAATAATCTATCTATTGTATTTTTTGTCATTCAATTTTTTTTCTTCAAAATCCTATTTAATGTTATGTTTTTGTTCCGTTTTGATTACCTATTATTAAAAAATAATCAGAATTACCGATATAATAATTTTTTTAAATGATGACATAATATTATCTTACAATAACATGTTAGCATCATTATTAATTATTTATTGGCATGGAATTAAAACGGGACATTAACCATAACTTTCAAATAAATAATTGAATGATAAAATGAAATTTTGAGAATAAATTAAGGATTAAATACGTAGTTTACCCATTATCTTATAATCATGTGGCTTCCATACATGATCACACCAACCACCTCTGCTGGAGCGTGCATTTGACTCTCTGGAAGCCGCGTGATGCATGTATTAGCTCTATCCTTAACAAGTGACAACCAAACCCTGCGATTGAATAAACATAAAATCCCTTCAAAAGCTTCTCGCCTCACCTCAGCTCACCTCACCTACCCAGCAAACACTGAAGCCAAGAAACAGATAGATAATGGAAATGGTAGCAACTTCTTGCCCTCAGTTCGGTGGACTTCGCCGCTCATGCCCCACCTTACACACTCCACGATCTCTGTCTTTCGTTCAACACATCAACTCTCAACTCCGTCTCTCCTCTTCTCGCAAGCCTTGCCGAGCTGTTGTTGCCATGGCTGGCTCTGGGAAGGTCCCCTCCACTATTCCTTTTACCTCCATCGTTAATGTGTATATAAATTCTTTACACATCGTTCCCCTTTGTTTTTATGTAAATCCTTTTAGCCCTTTTTTGGAGATTAAATGTATAATGTATACGAAGACATCGATGGCCTTTTCTTTTCTCACTTAAAGCTTAGCGATTAGAAAACAGAAGAAGAAGATATTAGATGTTGAAACTAGTAAAGGGTGGGATAAGTAGCTTAGTTTGTTATTAGAAGCTTAAGTAAATGTACGACCTTTTTGGTTGCAAAAGAATTAATCGACTTTGTTGAGAATATGCTTCTGTCTTTTTGAAGATTGTAAGCATTATGCTTTAGAGTTTTGTAAATGCTTGTTACTTGTTCCTATATTCGGTCCTTTATTAACTAATCTTGTTCCTTGTATTTGCAGTTCTTTGTTGGGGGTAACTGGAAATGTGTAAGAGCTCTTAATCTCAGATATTATGTCGTCTATGTTCTCTAATCTCTATCACCAACTCTTTGAAAGGATTTTTTCGATTTCCATTTAGGTCTTCCTTTAAAGTATCTTTTCTAAGCTATACGTCCGTCTTTAGTTTTTTTATGGCTTTGCCTGAGTAGATTTGCAATTTTGAATCAAGTGTTGTGTTTTTCATGGTGGTTCTGTTTTCTTTTCCTTACCCTCCCTCTATTTTTTTTTTGCTTTTGCCATTCTAGTTACTTATACCGAAATGCTCTCTTGGTATAACTAAATTTCACCATTGGCATTCGAGTTATTGTATACCAAAATATAATTCATTTTGTTAACTTTTTTCGTGGTTTTTCCTGTCATTTTGATTTCACACTGTAACTCTGTTCATGTGTAGCAACACTTGCGTATCTATCTAGTTCATTTACCTTTATTGATGATGTTTATTTTATTCTTGTAGAATGGAACAAAAGAGTCTATCACAAAGCTTGTTTCTGACCTGAACGGTGCAAAGTTGGAGAGTGATGTTGGTAATTGACAGCCTTTTCTTTGCAATTTGCGTGAGATGTTAAATCTATTATGGAACTAGGCTTCGATTTTATATTGGCCGATGGCTAAAAGATTTGCTATCACTTTTATTGTGATGGCTAAAAGATGTTGGTAATTTACGCTACTTGTGCTTTATTGGAAGCTATTTGTATAATGATTTTTTATTCTTTTAACTATACAGGCTTATTGTATTTTAGATGCGATATAGTTTTATATTCATTTGGTTCAGTTCACTGATATTGTGTTAAATGTTATGGAGATTGCTGATGTTCATGCTTGTCGAACAGATGTGGTTGTGTCACCCCCCTTTGTCTACCTTGATATGGTGAGTTCTTCATTAACTGACCGGATTGAGATATCTGCTCAGAACTCTTGGATTGGAAAAGGTGGGGCTTTCACTGGAGAAATCAGGTTAACTAACTTTTGCTTTATGAGCAAAACAAGTTAATTCATCATATAAAGCCACATCGTTGTTGAAGTTATTTTGTGGAGTTATGGGCAGAATACTTGCTACCTTTTGGCTATACTGCTAACAATCGTCTCCTTTCAATGTATTTGTTGTTTTTGTAAAGGGCAGCGGCTTACCTTTAGTCTATCACTAGAAATATGTTTAAAAATATACAGGAATCAGTATCTTTTTATGTCGTCACAAATTCTCATTGTGTTTAGTTTATTGCCGACCTTTGTTTTTTTCGTTGTGGTTATTTGGCCCTATCATGTCAACTGGCTTGGTTGAGTAATCCCAACTCTGTCTATGATATGATTTCTGATTCATCCTGTAGTGTGGAACAATTGAAAGATATTGGCTGCAAATGGGTCATTCATGGGCATTCTGAACGCAGACATATTATTGGTGAAGATGATCAGGTAAAAGTTTCGGGACTCATGTTCTTCAAAGGAGTCGAACAGCATATTTGTTTGTGGTTATTAATGCAAAATATTAAACTAATTAGTACTGACTGAAGATTTTACTTTCTTCAGTTTATAGGAAAGAAAGCTGCTTATGCTCTGAATGAGGGTCTTGGAGTGATAGCGTGTATCGGTGAATTACTAGAAGAAAGAGAAGCAGGGAAAACTTTTGATGTATGCTTCCGGCAACTAAAGGCTTTTGCTGGTAAATTTGCTTGGCCTTCTGCTACTTTCCTTCCTCATGAATTATCATTTTAGGTTATCTTGTGTAGACTGAAGACGGAAGGGCTCTGACCTAATTCCACTGATTCTGTCATGCAGATGTTGTACCAAGTTGGGACAATGTAGTTATTGCTTACGAGCCGGTATGGGCCATTGGGACCGGTAAAGTGGCTACTCCCCAGCAAGCTCAGGAGGTACATGCAGCTGTTCGCGATTGGCTTAAAAAGAATGTTTCCGAGGAAGTGGCATCTAAAACACGCATCATATATGGAGGTAGCTCGGATTACATATCATTCTTCTATGTTCTGCTAATCTATGATATGAAGAGTTAGAGGTTGTATGTTTGTACAAGCTATCGATTCCCGACGTCTGTTTTGCAGGGTCCGTGAATGGAAGCAATTGCAGTGAGCTTGCAAAGCAACAAGATATTGATGGATTTCTTGTTGGTGGTGCTTCTTTGAAGGTATATTGTAACTAACCATTCTGTTTCATAACTTAATGTGGTAAAATGGAACTGTCTTGGTTAGAAGCCGATTATCGATCTACGATACCGATGATTTCATTGTAACGTCGATGGTGCAGGGGGCGGAGTTTGCTACAATTGTCAACTCTGTAACATCCAAAAAGGTTGCTGCTTAAATATATACAAAGAGAAGCTGATTGAGGCTGGCGATTTGATTGAGTTGCAATCCCCCTAAATAATCGGAAAACGTATCTTTCTAATGTACAATAACTTAAACTGCATTCAAACTGTTGTACACAATTCACTGAAATAGATAAAACAGTGCATGCTGCACTCCAAATGCTTACCCTTTCTCATTTGCTAATCATCATTCACTAACTTGGTCAATTAAAAAATATAATATTAAATTATCTTAACATATAATAATATTTAAATTTATTTTATATGAGATATGATTTATCAATGTAAAACTGATTAATTTTATGTAAAAATTACTGTATTCGTCTATGAGGTCTCAGAATTAGATGTTGATGGCTTCATAGTATACTGGACCACTTGGCCACAATTAGGTTTGATTCTTATCATAAAGGATTGAAAACACGAACAATTCGTCTGTCATGACTGGAGAAATAAAAAAATATTGATAAAAACAATCAACATTTAAAATTTAATATTTTTATATATGTTAAATAATTTTAAATATATTTTTAATCTTTAAAATTTTATAAATTTATTTTACTAAAATACCATAAATTCGTACATCAGAGTCCTTTATCATGACCCAAAAACCCGATACAAAGGCTTCAAACATGGAAAGGACGTTTCATTTGGTGGACAAATTGAGAATCAGCTTGCTTTCAGTACCATTTTGGAAGATGTATATATGTAGTTTGGAAATAAACATTGATTTTGGCCATTATCGATTGTTCTTCATCCATAAGAAACTATCTACTAAACAAAATCCATTTTCTTACAAGATTTTGCACTGTTTTGGTACTGTTATTAGCATACATATCATCGTCGATCCAACAAGTTAAAACCCAGTTAAACAAAAAATTCCAACAGAAACTGTACCACCACTACCACTACATATAAAGATCATACCAGCCAGCTCTCACGAAAAATTGACTGGTACTGCAACAGGACTAACAGCAACACAATGAAACCAGCCACCGTCCACGGCGTCGTACCTTCAGAAGAACGTTGATGCGTTCGGCGGAGACGTTCGTACGTTGACGAACCAAACAGCATACCGGAAACATCCACGGATGACAGCCATCCTGCCAAGAAGATTAACACTACAGGTGTGGCAAAAAGGACCCAACTCATTTGTTCCTTCACCAGCTGACTAACTTGATATTACAAGAAAGATGGATGTGAGAGATATGATTAGCTGAATTGGATGAGGCAGAGAGCTTAAGGAGAATGGATCAAAGATGGGAGGCTTTTTCTCCTGTAATTGGTCATTAAAGAGGTGTATGGGTGAGGGTAGTATTTATGGTGTGTGAACTAGAGAGTATTTATAGCAAAAAAAAAGGTGTATGGCTTTTGTGGTTCACAGGGTATGAGTTGAAACAGGGTACTTCTGGACCGTTGATTTGTTTTGGATTTATTCGTATTTTATCTGTGTTACCTTCTTGGATTTAGGGTTTTGAACTTGGCATTGTGGGACCTTGGTGTACAAGGAAGAAAAAGGAGAAGAGAGGAAGAAGAAAGTTTGCAGAAAGGTTAATTCTGGGAAATGCTGCTGTCTAGGAATGGTTTGCATCACAAGAAAATAAGCATTTAACCATGAGTGGCCAGGGGATGCTAAACGCCATGCATATCAACACCTAGGAATTTGTTACTAGGACACATGATTAATCTTTGAATTTAATCATCTCTGTCTAATGTGTACATAGTGTAAATATGTACCTTTTAACACATAATTTTTCTAAATAAAATTATAAAATTTTTAATTCATTACTTTTTATTTCTTTCATTTTAATTCAACTTAAAATAAAATATAAATCCTTCAATTATACCCTCCTTTTGCTTTAAGCCCCTAAACTCTTTTTTTTATCAAAATAAATTCTTAAACTATTATATTTAATCACTATAAGTCCTATCATCTTTTTAATCAGATTTTTATCGATCAATAATATTTTAACACATCACATAAAATTAAGTATTTATTTTGACAAAAAAATAATAATTTAGAGGCTTAAAACAAAAAGAGTGACGTAGTTTAGAAATTTATTTCGATCAAAAAGTAATTTATGGGCTTAAAGCAAAAGATTGTAATTTAAAGACTTTTAATTTAATCCTTTTATTTCTAAGTGACGTTAACATAAAAAAAACCGATTCAAAAATCACAGACAAAAATACGTCCTACATAACTCACCTTCATAAAAAAATATATATAATTTTTAATCAATATTATTGTTGGAACATCATCCTAATAAAATAGTTGTTTCAAGTATTATTCTCATAATATTACTTTTTTTCAGACAGTTTTAATCTATGTTAGATATTAGGGCGCCATATCTCGGCTGGAGGAATTAAAATTTGCAGAACATGCACATGACAACGGTGAGAAATAAATATAAAACTGAAATTCCTAGTGGTCATCAAACCACCGACCTCTGTCAATTTAACATGTTGCCTGCGTCCGAAACCTCAGAGACGGTCCATGCTAAACATCTGGTGATCTTTTCTTTTACAAAAATTAATTTCTACAAACAACTGGTAAGCCCTATATTCTACTGATAAATATTACAAGATACAGAACATGTTTTAATACACGAACCATAGATTAATATAAAGATCAATTGACAAAGATATGAATTTCCCTTACTTGAATCTGGTAAATGCCATCACCAAAATTTACCAGTTATTCACTTCCTTGTAAGTTAGAGAATAGTCAAAGAGGATAAAATTGGTGACTTACCAGAGGAAATGGCTGAGATCAGACTTTCCCTCCGTACTGGAAATTCAGTTTGTAATCACGTTGCAAACTGGCCAAGTGTTTCTACATGGACCCTCTGCAAAATCATGGATGGATTAAAGAAGAAAGTTTAGACGAGTCCTGCATTTATGGTGAAGGGGGCAAATCAAGATTGCTAACCTCCAAATACTGTGTGAAGATACTGAAGATCATTAGCTGAACAAGCATCTATTAATGCATATACGCCTGGTTTTAGAGCGTCGTCTATCTCCCTACAAACAATCGAAAAAAGCAAATCGGCTCGGGCATAAAATGAGATGTATGTGTGTAATCATATATGATAGTACGCAGGCATTGACTACCCACCTTCTAATGCCCGTTTTACGGGGACCATATCCTGAAAAAACCCATATGTAGGTTGATAAGAATTTGTAACAATGCCCTGCAAACACGTCTTTCTGCTGCCTTAACTGTAAAATAACAATCGAGTGTCAAATATCAGAATTTTCTTGGGTTCTTAGACATGAATTCCGCGGTCGAATTACGCCACCATCAGACGTTTTAGCACAACTGCATATTCCAAAACAGTGACAGACGTGACACAAATTACAATACCTCTTCATAGATTCTTCGAAGAAAACCAGCACATTTCACCCCCTCTTGTATTTCCCATGAAAAATAACCCTTTTGGACCACTAGATCAGCATCCACTGTCTCCAAACAATGGAGAAGAAAAGATACTGATTGTTCAAGCACCGCGATACACCGTTCACATTCACTTGAAATGAGAAAAATAATATTAGTATGTGAATCTTGTCACATTGAGGAATTAGGGGAAAACACACAAGTTACGAAACTCAAGAAACAGAAAACACATTTAATAAGAACCAAGGAAATTCTCCCACACATACCTCTTCTGATGTTTCAGAACAGTGTACAATAATCGGCAACAAGCAGCAAAGAAGGTTACAGAAAATTGTTGGTCCAGAACATGAGATTCCGTGCTTACGATGGAATTGTGGTTTTGTTTATCCAGAAACAAGTTACTTGACACCGGTGCTTCAGAAACCCTTAGTTGATGGAAATCTTGAAAAAGTGCGCCAGGGATACGTAAAGACTGCCCAACGTGGCACATGTCCATTTGAAACTGAGCATGCTTTCCCGAAATTCTGGTCAATACCTCAACACACATAAGAACGACAGATCCTGGATCTGGATTTCTGTCACCTTCATTACTCGTAACTTTTTCATAGAATATTAATGGACTCTGCAAGTGCAGGATTATATTGAACAGAGCAGCAACAAAGCTCTTAATACGACTTCTAACCACATTCAAACATTTGCGTCCTACAAAGCAAAGAAAGGGATACATACGATGTTAAATAAAAATTCACTCTAGATTTTGAGATTAATAAAAATGTACTATAAGAAAACCAAGTCATCCAAATCCACTATAAGATGGCAGCTACAAGTGCCATAATTATGTCTTATGTTTACTACGATGGCCATACTATATACACAGACATAATACCTGAACCATGCTTAAGAACTAAATCCAAGCAGTCAATGCCAGCTGCAACAGTTGAGGACACCATGCCACCATCGGCACATCCAGTGGTTATTTCATACATCCTTGCATGGGCTCCTTGTACTCCCACTAATGCTCTCTCTATAGCCTGTATTGCTGACAACAGTTGCAACTCTGAGGGATTCTTAATACACTCTTTGAATGACATCCTCAACCTAGCTTTGAATTCATCTAGGCAATGCGAGTCACGAGAAAGAAATGACTCGGATAAACCTGTATCACCATGCAGTATCTTGGTGCTTGATTCTCTCTCATGAGATTCTAAAGTAGCTCTTTTTCCTTGTAAAGATATGCATTTTCCTATGGCCCTTAAATGCAATCCTATTAGCTTGGCATATACATCTGTGTTTAAGGTAGAATCAGTTGATGGAAAGTGACTCCCTAGTTCTTCCAAATACGTAACAGCACCATCTAACCAAACAAAGGTAAATGGTGGTGGGCTTTCAACTGAGTTTGCCAACTCCAAAAACAAGAACTGCGAAATATTAATTATGAGAGGTACCATGCCCGATGACAATTGAGCACCATCAACACGGAAATTTAGCCTTGGAATAGCAGAATAAGTAATTAATAGCTGCCTAAGTAAAATTGCTCTTTCAGGATGATCACCCTTTAGCAACCCCAGCAACAAATGCTTATTTAGACAATGAAGCACAACTAAATCATCTGAATTCTTGCAGTTATCCAACTTGTCAGAACTTGGGGAATCAGAACCACTTCTTGGCTGTTGATCATTCTCAAGAAACATGCGTAAGACATCATTAATAAAATCTACAAACACATTTATGCAGAGGTTTAGTTTCAAGATAGGCTCGCACTTCCATCGTAACAATTTTGCCTTTGACTCACCACATTTTTCGCCCGTCTGATTCAAGGCAGATGCGAGGCCCCATAAAAACCCACCAAAGCAAGAAACCATGAAAGACATTCTATTAATATTTAGAGCTTCTTTCTCAGATCCTACTAGTGCATTATCAAGGACTTCCTTCAAAGGAACAAGTAGGTTCTCTGCCTGTTCCTTCAAACTCTCAGCAATCATAGTCAGACTTCTCAAGGCTTCATTATCTTTCAAATAACTGAAGCGTAAAACAGGTTCATTTAAAATACTTTGATCACTGACAACACCGGAAAAACCTTTACAGACTTGCTTAGAATTTCCAATAAATTGAATGATCTGACCAAATTGATATTTGCTTATTGCAAAGAAAACATAAGATGTGTGATCCATCAATGAGAATTTCTTAATTTTGGATTTGGACATACAGTCTTCCGACATTGTGTCTAGGAGTTCGATCACTGCAGACACTGACTTGAAAAGCCAAGTGATAAAATATGAACCCTCAGAAACTGTAATAAGTGAAGACAGGCTAGCTCCCATCTTCTCCTCACATAATGCCATTATAATATTTTTCAATGTTCTCCGACAAGCTACAAACAATTGGAAAAGCTCATAGAAACCATATGAGGACAGTGTTCCCTGATGGTGTAAAAGCTCTGCAACTACATACCTGAAAATATTAAGAGATTCTTATTCATGGAGACTATAAAAAAGTTCATAATAAGAGTAAATGCACCAGTGGTGTATAATAAGATACCTTGCAAAGCATATGAAAAGAAAATGCTAGAAACTATGTATTACATAGATTCCAAACAAAAGATAAAGAGCTCACCGGTCAAGGTGGAGGACACAAGTTACTAACTTGGAGAATGATTTTGAACTCAAATATCCTTTTGGCATCCAACATAGAAGATCAAGTAAACTCCTACAATCTTTCACATTATTGAAAGGAAGGGTTGTCTGTTTCATAGAAGATTCTGAAGGTATCTCATTGCATTTATTTGAAATTGATCTTGCATCTGAGTCATGCTTAATATATCTTCTAAAAGAAACAATTGCAGATGAGTTCTCAAATGTGCTTAAAACCTCCGACCAAACAGGAAATGAATTAAAATTCCTGTCACTAACTAATGAATCACTAAACAGTAACAGCACCAAATTCTCAAGTTCATGACAAAATCTTGATGACAAATTCCTGCGAACAAACTAATAAAAGAGAGGTGAACATCATGTCACAAAAGAATCTCCATGAAAATGTCAGATGGAAGGTATAAAAGCACAGAGAGAACAAATGTGGTAAATGAAATAGGAATGCAAGAAAGAGAGAACATTTATGAATTGTTTGTCTTACTTTATGATCATACAGAGTGGAATCTTGTAGAAGACCTTGTGAAATCTGATCCAGAGTAATTTTCTTCGGTTGACCGTCTTTGTCAATTTTATGCTTTTCACCCTGCTGAAAGCTTTTTGATAAACAAGGTAGGGAAGTCTGGATCAAAAGTGTGAGGAATGTTTTCAACTTCTTCTTTAACTTCTTAGAAGAAGAAGAATACAGGCATAAAATATCAATATTTTGGCAAATAATCCACCAAATTGCGATTGGCAATGACTTCTTGTTCACAGAACAAATACCAAAATCCCATTTATCACTTTCATGTGCTTTTGTTTCACAAGATGTGTCATCAGAGGAGAACATGGATAAGTGATTATCAGATACTAATGAAAGGTATCCCAGCACAAAATCAGCAAGCTCCACTGCCTCTTGCTCCAAAACTAAGATGCGTTTTTTCAATTTTCCGTCTTTCTTACTATATAGTGACAAGTCAGCATCATCAAACATTTTAACCTGCATCAGCTTCTCATTCTGCTGTAATAAATACTCGAGAGAGCTTCTATGCCTGCTCAAATCAACTAGCCTCTGGAGAGCCATAATATGCAGTATATAAATCAGTGGACAAAAATCTTCAATGTTGTCTTTAACATAAGTGTCTGATATGTGACGTATAAGATCAAGAAGAGATGGTGAAGGATTGATAATCCAAGAAAAGTAGCCGTCATCTGTACAATCTGATTTCTCTATCCAATCCCTACCAGTATATGCTGTGAATGCATCCCCCATTGCCGAGGACAATTTCCGCGACGTGCCGGGTGGTGTAAGGCTAATGACTTGCCTGTACAAACTTCGGCAAGATATGTACAGTCGAAATAGGAAAACTAAGATCCATTGTATTGATATTCCATGTCTCTCTTTTTCATTCTCAGCAACCATATTCTTGGAAATACTTCCAATGACAGAAAACAAGAACGTGTCAACACCATCAAGGTTTTGTTCACCCAGACTACTAGTGCAAGGATAAATTGTATGTACTAGCTCCTTTATAGAAGGCCCAAGCAGATTACAGTTTCCTGCGGTGACTGGAAGTGAGTCCAGCAATACTATATAAATTTCAGATAGAACTCTTCCCAACAGGTTTGCTTGTATGTGAAAGCTTAGCATGTCATGATCACTTACATGAGATCTTCCAATTTCTTTTCCATCAGTTACTGAGCTGCCAATTTTCATCCATTCCATCGATTCTGATACATCTGCAGTTAACTGCTGAATAAGCTCACCCGCTTGCCCTTCTGGTATGAACTTTATAGCATGATTAATAGAGAGTTTAAATTCTTGTGAGCTTAAAAGAATACCCACTGATGCTGCAATTGCTTCATTACAAAATGACGCCGAGTACGAAAAAAATCTGGTGCAGCTCATTTCACGTTCATTGTGGTGTGATATCAAAAGTCTCACAGCTTTGCACAATGTAAAAATAGAATTATTCACCTACATCAATTACAACGCCTATTAATTGGAGTTGAACCATTTAATGAAAAGGAAATATTAAGCCACTTATTCAAGGACAAGAAATGTGAAAAAGACAAAAAGGGAAAAGTAACCAATCAAAAAATGAACATAACACCCCGAATCCCGTGAAAGAAAATAAAGCATAGTCCAAAATGGTTTACATATTAAAAAAATTATTCAAGGCAACAACACTTAGGATGTGTATATATTGAAAAATGTATACGAACCTGGCGAAGTGCACTATAAAGATAAACCAGATGGCACCCAAGATCCAGTATCGGGGAAATCAAAACGCATTGATCTGGTGAATCTAAATAAGAGAGACTGGCCAAGTAAGAAAGAATCATGAGCCATAAGCTAATTAAATCACTCCCGATAACATCATATTCAATATCCAAGAAGTGCCCTACAGCAAAAAACAACTCCTTGGCTAATAAAGGAAACATCTCCTTCCTTGTCTTGCCATCTATATCAGATTCTGACAGGCCAAGTAATTTGGCAGCAAATGAGACTACTGTATTATAAGCTTTCTTCAAGAAATTAAGACAAGCTCCTTCAGATATGTCTTCTGTTCTTGCATATACTTTTTCATGTACAAAAATGGCAAGTAAACTATTAACCGACTTCAGTGTGCAATGAACATTCTCCAATGAGACCCTTGCTGCCAAGTTAGATTGCATGTAGCCATCCATCTCAAGTAGGAGAGGCTCCAAAAGATGAACAAAAAAATCAAATAGTGACTTCCGAGATTCTGCACTATAAGTACTAGAGCTATACTTATTGTCTGAAATTTCCCTACTACTTCGAGATGGATCTGTAGACAAATGACTTGACAAGTCATCTTCCAAGCGCCTTGTACCTCCAACTTTTCCAGTAGTCCCTCCACCTGAAGCTCCTTTTTGCTTTTTAATTCGACCAACAAACAAGTGAAATAACTGCCCAGCACCACTCAATTCTATGTTCTTCTTCAGCTTTATGATGCTTTCCAGTTTGTCAAATAAATGCCTGTGATAACTTTTAATGACCAAATTTGAGTCTTTTGCTTCAATTGACGGAGCATACTTTTCCACACCACGCAAGCCCAAAAATCCATCAATGTGAACAGAATGAAACAGCCCATGAGATAATACATCTTCAACCAACACAGACAACTTTGTCATGACAGAATTATTCTCATTAACTTGACTATACAAGACATCATCTAGCAGAAGCAACAAGGGTTCAAGAAGTTTATCTACAAAATCACGAAACCCATTTTTCCGAGTTGGGTGGATCCTCAAAAACTTGGCAAATGGTTCAAGAACCACACAAGAAAACTGAATGGCAAATGCACCTATATTGCCGCCACCAAGGCTCTGAGCATAAATTTTGTGAACAAGCTGAAGCACCAAGTCAATATTGGAAATCCATAACTCTAAATTTTCATTAGACAACCCATTTTGGAATGAGAACAACAAGGAAAAACAGTCAAGCACAACACCATACAATTTAAACTCTTCACCAGCAAAAACTGATTCATTTGAAGACAAAGATGGATCACTAATAAAAGACAAAAAATTTCTCGCAATATAACCAATTGCTCTTAATAAATTCCGAGAGAAATTCAGAGAAACGTGTAATTTCACAGACTCCTTCAAGCAGAATTCAAAAACCCGCCAACATCTAAAATCCAAAAAAGCCTCGACATTATCTTTCTTTTCAGGAGAAACTAATAATGATTGGATCCAATCATTGAGAAAAACGATTAATCGCGATGTATTCACCGTTTCATCATCATCATCCACATCGTTTCTTACTACTTTCTCAATTGAATCAATAAAATCAAAAGCCAGCTCTACCTTTCTGCACCAATACACAAGGCTCCATTACTCGAAGCAAAACATTAAATGTACATTCCTATTAAATGAACAGATAAACATATAATAACAAATAAAAGCGAATAAATGAACCAATAAATCATTTGTTTTATGGTGAAGGAAAGAAAATACTAACTTTTGAAGGTCGATTTCCTTGTTTTGCAAGGAAAGAATTAACTGTAAATTTCTCCATGGGCGTTCTTCACTGAGACTCAGCTCCGGTTCTATAGGTGTCCAGCTTTCAGCTTTTTCAACTTCTTCTGGTTCCTTCTTAAACGAGTCGTTACGGCGGCGTTTCGAAAGACTCGGTTTCTCTTGGGAGCTGTTTAGCTTCCTCTTGCCTTTCTTTGTTAACTTCACAGATGAATCAACCATGTTTCTGAATCGTTGATTACCGGAGAGGAGTGAATTTTGGCCTTATTTTTTTTCCCTTCTAAAAGTTGGGTTTTGCTGCTGTTCTTTTAGGGCTTTGAATTCGGTTTATCAATACACTGCGTTTAATGGCGAACGAATTAGCTTGCGTTACCCGCCACTTTTAGCAATTCCATTTTAAATAGAATTTACTTTTTTTAATTAATTATTGTATTTAATATCGTATATGTACTTTTTTTCTTATTTATGTTTAATTGGATACTAATTCAATTATTAAAAACATAAAAATTAAATTTTAATATATCAATATAAATAAATTATTAAGGGTATTTAAATATTTTATTTAAAAAAGCTACATTTCATCTCCATTTCATCTTAAAAACTACCAAATATTCTTCAAGAAAAAGTTATTTATCCTATTTTCCATCATGTAAATTATTGGGGCTTACTTTAAGAAGGTGTAGTAATTTAAAGGCCTTTTTAATATTGTCGCAACCGTCTTTCGGTTGGGCCCCGGAATTGGGCTTCAATTTGAAAAATGTGGATTGGAGTCGCCACTGATCATTTATTTAAAAATAAATGGGTTGATCGGATACCCTATTTCTTACCTGATCTGCGTCTTACCAGAAATATGTCGGGTTCGGGAGTCGGTTACGGTCAAGGAAGGATTAGCACCCTTGAACCGCCCTTTCGGTACTACGTAATTTCCAGTTGTCTTAATTAAGAAAAATAACAAGTTAAATTAAAAGGTAAAGTTTCGATCCTAATTACTTACCCTTGATTGATTTGAAAAAAAATCGAGAAATGTGTTAGATAAACAAGGTAAAGAAAACAAATAAGATACAAGGGAAAAATAAAATAAATAAAATAAGTAAGTAAGATAAGAAAAAATAGTAAAGTAATAATTATATATAGTAATATTTGAAAAAAGGAAAAAATATAAATATATATATATCAAAGCATTAATAAAATAAATAAGCTATATATGTACATCAAATACTTAAAAAATAGAAAAGCTACCCTCCCAATTCACCGAAAATGGGGGGCTCTAGTAAGAAATAAGACAAAAAATGGGCCCTCTAGGTTAGTAGTATATAATATAATGTTTAATAATGATAATGATAAAGACACAAGGTTTTTAAAAAATATATATAATAATAATGAATAAAAAAACGAAAATAATAAAAAAAATAATATAAATATATAAAATTATAAGATATATTACATAAATAAAGAAATAATCAAATAAAAATAATTAAGAATATATATATTTAATAATATGTATATAAATAAACTATTAAAAGTATAAAAAATATATATGACTAGATAAAGATAATTTAATATATATATAGTAATATTAGACTTATAAGTAAAATATTAAAGAAATATATATATAATAATAATAATAAAATATAGTAAAAATCAAATGAAAATAATTTAATATATATATATACATATAATAATAATAACATGAATAATAAAAATAAATGAATAAAATATCCATATAATAAATAAAGGGACTAATATAGATTTTTAAAAAGCTCTTTCCCTCCTTTAACCGAAAATCAAACCGGTTTTTAAAAATAAGCCTCGGGGTAGATCTAGGTTCGAAACTTCGAAACCCCACCCATTTTGGTCATCGGAGCAACCCACGTTTTGGGTTATTCGAACCAAATCTCAAGAAAAATAGCGTGCACATGCAAAAGAAAGAAAAAAGAAAATGCTACCTTTTATTTCCTTTTCGAATCCTTTACAATAGCTTTGCCTTTGTATCTTCCCGTGCTTTCCTCTATGTTTTGTGTATAAATCGTGTCTTACAATGGTGAGTTACAATGGCTATTTATAGTGCTTGTGGATCCTATCTTTAGGAATTTAAATAATAGTAGAACTCTATCCTATTTTTAGGAGTTTGAATCCTAGCAAAATTTTATCCTATTTTTAGGAGTTTGAATCCTAAAATTCTATCCTATTTTTAGGAGTTTGAATCCTAGTAGGACGAAAAATGTGTGTTGACAGCTGCCCCTCTTTGCCCATAGTCGTGTAACGGGGATAGGGCAAAGATTAAAAGACACACTTTTCGTTCAGTGGAGTTGAAAATTAACTCTGATGTTTCAATAACTCTCTGTCGAATTGAGTTACGGATGACTCCTCCATCGTGAAGTCGAGTTCATCTTGAAATGATATGAAATTAAAGTCGTAGTTCGGAATTTGAATCGGCATGTGGCTTCCCGTTACCCTTTGGTCTTCTTCTCGGTTTAAAGACCTTGGATCGGAATCGAACTCAGAAATCTTCATTGACAGATAGCTTTTTCTTGACTTAAGCTATGCTGTTTGAAAATGGTTGCTTGTCACTAAGGCACGGCTAACCCAGGTCCTCTTCTCGACTTGAAAACCTCGACTGCAACCGGAAAGTAGTGCGATTGATGTGTCATCGAGCTGAATGGAGTCGAACTCGACAATTTTGATGGCAGATAATCCTTCTTTGAGTTGGATATCCTTCGTCGTGAAGTTGAAATCCAAGTAAGTAGCATTGTTCCAAGTCCAATATCCTCCGTCGTGAAGTTGAAATTGGTTCTGGAACCGGGAAATTGTTTGTTGACAACCAGCCGTCCCTTCGTTGTGAAGTTGAACTTGTGTTGTCTCGAGTCCAATATCCTTCGTTGTGAAGTTGAAATTGAATCTGAATGAAATTTTGTTGACAAGCAGCGGTCCCTTCGTCGTGAAGTTGAACTTGCGTTGTCTGGAGTCCAATATCCTTCGTTGTGAAGTTGAAATTGGCTCTTAGATTGGGAAGTTGTTGTTGACAAGCAGCGGTCCCTTCGTCGTGAAGTTGAACTTGCATTGTCTGGAGTCCAATATCCTTCGTTGTGAAGTTGAAATTGGCTCTGAGATTGGGAAGTTGTTGTTGACAAGCAGCGGTCCCTTCGTCGTGAAGTTGAACTTGCGTTGTCTAAAGTCCAATATCCTTCGTTGTGAAGTTGAAATTGGCTCTGAAATTGAGAAGTTGTTGTTGACAAGCAGCGGTCCCTTCGTCGTGAAGTTGAACTTGCGTTGTCTGGAGTCCAATATCCTTCATTGTGAAGTTGAAATTGGCTCTGAAATTGAGAAGTTGTTGTTGACAGGCAGCGGTCCCTTCGTCGTGAAGTTGAACTTGCGTTGTCTGGAGTCCAATATCCTTCGTTGTGAAGTTGAAATTGACTCTGAAATTGAGAAGTTGTTTGTTGACAACCAGCCGTCCCTTTGTTGTGAAGTTGAACTTGTGTTGCCTCGAGTGCCACGATATCCTCCTTCGTGGAGTTGAAATCGCAGATGGCCCCTTCGTTGCGAAGTTGAGCCTTGACTTGAATATCCTTCGTCGTGAAGTTGAAATCCAAGTATTGTATGTTGCGGGTGGACACAATTCCCTTCGCCGTGAAGTTGAAACCGTGGAGACCCCTTTATTGTGAAGTTTGGCTTCGAGCTAGATATCCTTCGTCGTGAAGTTGAAATCCACTCTCGAGCAAATCGTGTCGCTTTGAGTTCAATATCCTTCGCCGCGAAGTTGAAATTGACTCTAGCTAAAACCTGAAAAAGTTATGCATATATGTGATGCTATGGATGCAATGCTCTTAGGTGTGCCTAAAATGCATATGCAACATATGTTATCTTGGGGCTCTGGAGAGAAATCTCGATCTCTAGTTGCCTGTCTGGAATCTTGATTCTTGAATCTTCAAATTTTGATCCCTGATCTTGAATTCTTCAAATGTTCAAATCTGATGTGCACATTCTATTTTTGATTTGAGAAATGCTTCTCGACCATCTCAAGTATGTGCCTGAGCTGAGTGTAACGGTTCAGATGATGCTTCAAAAGAAGTTGTCTTGAAAGAGATAGAATTCGTTTCAAGGGAAACGATCTCAAAGATATCTGTTGTTTCATGAGAAACGGTCTCAAGGGAAACAAAATTATGTTTTAAGGGAAATAAATTTGAAGATTTTGTGTTTCAAGAGTAACTGTCTCAAAGGAGACAAAATTTGTTTTAGGGGAAATAAATTCAAAGGTTTTGTTTCAAGGGAAACTGTCTCAAGATAGACGAAAATTGTTTCAAGAGAAACTGTCTCAAGAGAGACAAAACTTAGTTCCAAAAGAAACTGTCTCAAGGGAGACGGAATTTGTTTCAAAGAAAACATATTCAAATATTTTGTTTTAAGGGAAACTGTCTCAAGAGAGACAAAATTTATTTCAAGGGAAACTGTCTCAGGATAGACGAAATTTGTTTCAAGAGAAACTGTCTCAAGAGAGACAAAATTTGTTTCAAGGGAAACTGTCTCAAGAGAGACAAAACTCTTCTAATGAAAACGGTCTCAAGCGAGACAAATCTTGTTTTAAGAAAAACAATCATGAGTGAAATAAATCTTCTTTCGAGTAAAACAGTCCCAAGTGAGACAAAGTCTGTTTTAAAAAAACAATCTCAAGTGAGATAATCATCTGCATTAAATGAGACTGTCTCAAGCGAGACATAATTTATATTGGAAATGTCGAATCTGAAAATGAATGTCGATCTTTCTATCTGTCGAGTTGGTTAAAGTGTAGCTTCTTGCTGCTGAGCTAAGCAACCGACATCAATCTGTAAAGGTGCTTTTGAATCGAGTATCCTTCGTCTTGAAGTCGAACTTGACTCTAAAGCTGTAAAAATTATGTACGTGGAAAGAAAATGATAGATATGACGCTCTAAAATGTATGCATAAGATGCATGTAACATGAATTGGTTATATTTTATCTCCTGAAAAAGGTCTGATAATTTATATTAGGATGTTGAATCCCCAAATATGCCTCAATATCCAAAAATGCCCCAATATTTGATGTTGAATCTTCAAAGATACCCCAAATGTTCCTCATTTCTTGCTTCATCATTGATTCTAAGCATGAGCTTTGTGTTTGAGAGTCACATGCCATTTACCAAGATCCACTCTAGAGAGACTGTCTTGTTTGAAAAAAAATGTTTTTCTTTCTCTTTTATTTTCAAAGTCATGAAAATATCAATTAAAAGAGTTTCAAAAAATGTTTAATCTCAAGTTTTAAAAATATTGCCCCTATCACGGTTTTACAATTGAGACGAATCATAAAACTAGAG